ACAACAACGACAACAAAGAAAAACAAAAAAAGGTTTATTGAAATGCTGATAAGCCAAATTCCAGAGCCAAACAAAAAAAAGGCAAAAACACAAACCACAAAAACTGTAAGCATAGGAGATGAAAGAAGAAAGGAAGTAAAAGCGAACATAACACATGAGAAAACAAATGGTCAAACTACAACAGGAAGTCAAATAATACTAAAACATGACAACATCCAAACCTGAAATACTGAACATAAAAACAATAAAAGGGGAACACAGAAATCAGAGGACATGACAACAAAGCCAACCAGCCTAACATGGATCACAACACGAGTGCAATCAAACTGTGTCATCACACACAGAAAGGTTTAAATCAATGAAAATCGGTATAGCGGCAGCCATTACATGCTGCTCGTGTGTCTGTTCTGGAGAAACCTTACCGTTGTAACAGCCTGGTGCCGGCGACTACCCATCTATGCACATGTATGTACGGACCGAGTAGAGCCGTGGAGACCTGGCTAGTGTGGTCTTATTTTGCTGACAGCGAATAAAGGTCTGTTGTTTGATTCAACTGACTGGCTTTGAGTTATCCGGCTAACCTCCACACCTCATGCCCGCTGGACCTGCTAGCTGCTCCTTCCTCGCCAGACTGCTGTTACAACAGTTTGTCAGACAACATCACATAGACTAAACAGGAATTTTGCAAGGACAGCTTCTGATTCTGGATTTTTCTATTTTTCCTTTCAAAAACAGAAAGAAACTTCCATTGTATCATTCCACACATGCAGAAAAAACTGACGTAGTCTCCAAGTCTGGTAAGTGAAGGCAAAGACTGGTAGAGTCCTCCAGCTAGAGAAACACTCCTAGCTGTATAGAGGTCTATGAGAAAATGGCCCTCAGCTCCATTAATCTATAATCTATATCTATAATCTTCCCCATGACCTTCACCCATGACCCATAACTTAATATTTCCCCATGAAATATCAAGTTAATTTGTAAATTATGGTCATAATAACAGGCAGAATTCAAGTTATTCTAGGTATGCTTGTCGGCTAAGGACTTAAAGAAGCTCAGATATAGAAACACAGGGAGGAGGGTAGGGGAAGGGAGGTGGGAGGTGGCATCCATCTCATGTGGTGAAGGTGGCTGTCTTGTCCTAATAACCAGCCTTCCAAGATCCAGTGTCCTTGGATCTTGGCTCATTCTTCACCACCTGGCTCAGCCATAGTGGAAATCCTCAGCTCCAGATTTATTAAACCGGATTTTACAGGAAACAAAGCAATAATTATACCTTGATTACATTTAAGTACAGCTTAAGTAATTTTAAGTAGTGTAATTGGTATCATGGTAATTATTTTTAGAAAAACCAAAATAAAACACAAAACATTCCCAATCTTAAATTGTTTTTTTAATTAATTAATTGCTGTTTGTTTTTAAATTTTCTTCGCTAAATATCTGTTGGGGTGACACGGACCATCATATTGTACTGTGTGTTCTGTCTGTCTGTCTGCCAGCCTGCCAGCCCGCCGCGTTAGTTTATTTTGTATGCTAGTTCAGCCAGTTTTCTGTTTTGTCGTCCAGCATTAAAGCCTTATTTAAGTTCACCTTTTGTTTCCGTGAGTCTGCATTTTGGGTCTTTTTCCTGCCTGCACACAGCCTTCACTTGACAGAAGATCGCGACCATATTATGGACCCAGCAGACATCGAACTTCAGGAGCGACGCCGAGCAGCCTTTGTCCAGCTGGAGGAGGAACTCCGCTGGAAGCCATGGCTCACCCCTGACGTCGGGCGCATTTACGTTGAAACCAAGCACACCATTGTTTTTCTTGTGACATTACCAATAAGTTTGATGTGTCACATGGTCCTCTTCCTTTTGAAAAAACAAAAGTTGTATCCAAGATGGCCGACTTCTAAATGGCCACCATGGTCATCACCCATCTTGAGGAGTTTGTCCCCTCACATATACTAATGTGCCACAAACAGGACTTTCACCAACCATTCCCATGTTATTACGGTGTATCCATATAAATGGCCCACCCTGTACTTCAAATAACTCACGCTATACCTTGTATTTCCTTCCCTGTAAAATATTTAGGCACGACCTACATTGAAATTCAAATAAAATGCATAAATAAATAAAATAAAACAACTAAAGTCTGTTTAATTATAGGGGAATAATGCCCTTACTGTCGGGTCATATTATAAAGTGTCACCCAGGATTTCGCAAACTCGCAAGTGACCTCTCAATAGATACGGCCACATTTTAAACCCCTGAGTCTGTGACTGCTCTGTAACGCTACATGGTCAGAAACAGAAGCTGGTTTACTTTGGCAAAGATTCACAGAAAGAACGTAGCCAAAATAACTGTTTAGGTTTTTTTTTTGTCAGTGACTTTGGTGAGAAGCATTTTGAAGTAAGGGTGGTGTTTCTCCACCTTTAATGAGGCATTGCACTGTTTACTTCAAACTCTCAATCATTTTGTCCCATGGTGCAGTTAGTTTGTGCAGATACCAACATGATAATCAAACTTGGGTGTGGACTAAAACAACCACATTGAAAGCCTTCGGAGTAGGTGGTCTTGATCTGGTTACAGTTGAACTCCGGAACAGTTAATTTATGGTGAAATTGTGATCCAGTCAAGCTTCTTCTTCCTGTATTTATTTATTTTTGCTCTTCCCCATCTACTCAGTGGGCACACTTTACTTCTTTCTGTGGGAAAGGAAATTATTGTTTTTTGTTTTGTATGTTTGCATTGGGTGAATTACTGCTGCCCATGTCTTCATTTTTATTTAATTTTATTTGCACACATTAAATCCTTCATGCATTTGTGAGATCTTTGTATTGTCAGAGAAAGAATCACGAATGTATTCAACATCACAACACTAAATGCAAACAGAGCCATACAAAGAGAATGTGCAGCCAAGAGAAGATTAAAAGCACAGAGCCCTAAATAGGTGTCAAGGTGATTACAAGGTGATTACATAAAATATTAATTTGCCTCATTTTTTTACTGCTTGCTGCACTTTCAATTAATTTAGCTGTTTAATAAACCCATCATCCATCCATTCGCTTACGCTTCTCCTTTTCAGGGTCGCAGGGGGCGCTGGAGCCTATCCCAGCTGTCATAGGGCGAGAGGCGGGGTACACCCTGGACAGGTCGCCAGTCTGTTGCAGGGCTAACACACAGACAGACAACCATTCGCGCTCACATTCACTCGCACAATCACACCGAATGGCAATTTGGATTTTCCAATTAACCTATCCCCACAAGGGTTTAATAAACCCATCTATTCAATTATTTAACTTTTTTAAAAAAAAAAAATCTTTTTATTCCTTTTTTTCCTCCATCTATTTATTTTTAAGGCATTTTCACTTTGCTTTCAGTGCCAGAAACTTCCAGTCAGTTTATCAGATTCCTGTAGCACTTTTACTTCCACTTTATCAAACAATGGTTTGTTCAAGTCATTGGCATTAGTTGGAAACACCAGATTATTAGCTGCAGTTAATTTAATGGATGTTAATAACAGCAGTGGTTTTCTGGAAGTTACACTAAGCTCTTTTACTATTAGCTGACTAACATCACCCTATGCTTTCATTTATTTGGGTGTTGTTGTTCCAAAATGGAAATTTGGATTCAGTTTACTCAAAGACGTCAGTACAGAGGTTTTCAAGGCACATGGGGAATGATTTTCGAGTGGACTTTGATTGCAGAGCAGCTTTGCCCTGCGTATTTGGGTTGGCCCTGCATAGGCGTAGCTGAGTTAGGAGAAAAAAAATGTTTTGCTGAGAAATGCAAGCACACTCATGAACAATATAATTTATAGAGAAAATTCAATTACCTGTTTTTAATTTGTTTCTCTCAAATGTTTTTTCAAATCTAAGGGTAAGATGACATGAACCTACAGCCATGGACCTTCTGTTTTTCCCCCATCTACAGGGTGAACCATTTATATTATATATAATAAAATGGGAATGGTTGGTGATATTAAAGTCCTGTTTGTGGCACATTAGTATATGTGAGGGGGCAAACTCCTCAAGATGGGTGGTGACCATGGTGGCCATTTAGAAGGCGGCCCATTTTATTATATATAATATAAATGGCCCACCCTGTAGATGGGGAAAAACAGAAGGTCCATGGCTGTAGGTTCACCCTGTACATTACAGAAGTCAATAAGAATGAAAATATATTAAAAAGAAAAAAGATTGCAAGTCAGCTTTATTCCATGATGCTAGAACATGTATGTGATCTTGAGGAATGAGGCTCCCTGTGCTGCAAATATATTTGCTTCACAAACTCACTGGTTTGCAAAACACAAAACAAGTATTTATTTAACCCTTTAATGCACCCATGTATTTAAATTAGTCTTTCTGAGGTAGCATTAGCAGTAACAGAAGAAGAAGTGGATAGAAACAATAACAGCTGGATAGAGGACATCACAGTCTCTGTGTATTAAAGGCCTTACACCTGCATTACTTTTAAAACCCTCTGGTTGCAAAAAGAAGTATGAATGTATAGAAGAGAAATCAGAAAATAACCCTGTGTTATTTTGGATTCACGACTTCTCTAATCACTTTCTTGATGTGTTTGTGGTCAGAGTCACTCAATTTAAGCCATTTTGAACACAACTTGGTGTTTAGTCTGTAAATTATGGTCCCACTCAGAGTCAAAATGTAGAATAAAGCAGCTTATGCGTTAGGGTGGGCCCAAGTACAGAGTTTTCGGCTCAGACTTATGGTCATAGCAAGCTAAGATACCCCAAACATTCAGCTTGAAGCGTCAAATCCAGAATATAATTCTAAAATTTGAACACAGTGGGCTGAAACGCATACTTGTCTTAAAACTATTTGGCAGATTAAGGAAGTATAAAGAAGTAATCCAATCCAAAAAAATGTTCAAATAAATAATGAAATTCCTATTTGCGTACAGCCTGTTTCATTGCATTGTTTCGTAATCAGCCATCCATCCATTTTCTACAAAATCTAATTTATGTGTGTGCAAAAATCATTTTGGTATCTGCTAAAGGCTCAGAGGTGAGGCCCACATTTAATGTCTGAAGTTCTTATGATGAGAAGGTTTGAGAGGAAACGTGCTTTACGCCATGCGTTTGAACTTTGGTTATTTGGACTTGCAGGTGAGAAGTGGAAATGAGTTTCCACCTCTTGTTCAGGCTCTACTTGGTGTGGTCTTGCACCCACTGACACAGCCTGAGGCAGTAAGTCTGTGGACTGACGGTTGAGAAGGACCGACCGGGGTGCCTCAACCTCTTCCACAAATGCTCCAGCCTCTTCTTAAAACTGTAAACTGTGAAAATGTCAATGATGCCGACAAAGTAGCGCTGCTCGGGGCCATCAATGATGTGAAGAGGATTCTTTAAGTTTGGCAGCAAACGTCGGTTTTGGGCTTGGAAGTCTTGCAGCTCAGCCTCGGCGCTTGCTGGCCCAGCATCCTTTGCACATGTTCGAGGAGAGCTGCTCCTTGATGCAGCTTGAGAGTGTGGTGTCTTTAAGCCGCTGTCTGTTTCAGATAAGGATAGGGCAGGGTTCTCGTCCACGACTACTCCGGGAACTGTGGCTGCATTCATATGGATTGGACTGGAGCCTGGATTCACAGACCTGAAAAGAAAAGCCATACAGATGAGAATGAGTCACTGAAACGGACACCCTAATTGACCCTTTTGTAATCTTTTCAGTCCGGTCTAGACAGATTACAACAGAGTTTAGGGCACCAAGTGAATCCAGACTGAATATACACATTGAATTCTCACGCCATTATACTCATGCATTAATTTCTGAACACCAGGTAACTGATGACTCATTTAGGGTTAAGCCTGGCGCTTGGGTTAGGTTACAGTCTACCATTTTTTATAATATTTATTCAAATTTGAAACAGTTAAAAAGAAAATATGTTAAGAGAATATATAGTCAAAAATCTGAAAGGTAATATCTTTTGGTTTCTGAGAAATGAGCCTAAATAAAAGCAACCCAGAGCAACCCTAAAATTCCACACTGGTTACTGCTGGCCTAATGGGTGTCAAGATGGTAAAGGCAAATATTTCATCCACCACTCCTATAGAAGAATGCACTAAGGCATGTGGACATGGTTGAAACGACTGCTGGTTGAACATCAGAATGGAAAAAAGGGCTTATTAAATTGACTTGGAACCTGGTGTGGTTGGTGGTGCCAGACAGGATAGTCTGAGTCAGAAATCCTGATCTAATGGAATTTTCACACAAAATGGCAAGGTGCACAGAGAGACAGGGAACCGAATGAAATTTGAACATGTTTTTTTTTTTTGCCTGTCCCGTTTGGCT